AATATTCAAATGAATGGTGTTTTCTTTTTTTCACAATTATTATCTCAACAATTTTGTAACAATATTATCTCAACATTCAACAGAAGCACGTGTGGCTGACTGGTTAAGTGTCTTTTATCTTAATCGGAAGGTCGAGGGTTCGAACCCCACATGCGACATGGTCACCCCCTTCGGATTTCCTTTCCCTTCGGGTTGAGAGGTTTTCTGGAGGGCAGTCTGGTGGTTGTGGCCCCAGTTCTTTAAAGTGACAAGCCACTCCTTCATCGTCATCTTCCCTTCACCACCAAAAAAGCTATTTAGTTCCCCATTGAGCTTAGGGTTAGGGAGCCGTCTGTCATGACGTGGGTTAAGTTAAGATATAGCCTAGTATTGTGTGTGTCGTTGTATTGTGATTCATATATTTCGTGTATGCGATAAATTCACCACTGGTAGCCCCAGTCGGTATTTTTTTTTTTAAATTCAAAAAAATATTCGCTTCATCTGTGAACTTTGCCTTTTTTTTTGCGAAAAAAACGAACACAACTCCTTAAAAATTCCACGCAAAACTCGATTGAGAAAAGAAAAATGATTTCGTGTTTTTCGGAGAGGATTTGCAAAAGTGTTAGTTTTAGAGGTAAAAATACTCTCTCTTTTAAAGCCATTTTTCATTTTAATCGATCAAAACAAGTTTTTGGTTGATAAGTGAACTTTCAAAGTTTCGACGGATGTGCTGTTTGTCTTGTCAATTTAAAGCTTGTCAATTTGACGAGTAAACTTGAGCAATTAAGTAATTTGGGTAATTTTCGCTGAGTAACAGCAGTAATTTGAGCAATCAGTAAAGTTGGTATTTGATCGATCGATTGCATAGGGTCAAAAAGTATGTTCTTAAGCTTACGCACATCCTTTCTGTCGGATTCATCGGATCGGCTCATCATCTGAGCCAATCCGATCCGATGTAATCCATCGGATCCATCGGATCCATCCGATGGCAAGTCTAGCGACCAGTTTATCATTCTACGCAGCTCTTGAGTTCTTTCATAGCACCAGATGACCTCAACTCTCAAAATGAGAGTCTCCACCCAACAATCTCTCCCCTCCATCCCCCTCTCTTCCCCTCCATCCACCTCCATTTCCCCCTCTCATACCCCTGTCCCATTCCTGAGATTTATCGTCTCCAATTGTCTCATGTTTCTCCCTTTTTTTCCAGAGCATGCTCATTTTTTCCCCTTTGTCCCAGATCAAAGAGCGCAAAAAAAAAAATCCCAAAAAATACTCATCGTTGAACCCATTTTTATGAGCTTTTTTGCATCTTGAATCTTTTTTTCAAAACAGATTTTTAGCATTATTTTCCAAGCTCAGAATTTACATTATTTTAGCGAAAACCCACTGAAAAATGAGATGTGAAATGTTTATTTTTCGAAAGATGTTGAAACCCAATCTTTTCACAGCAGAAAAACACGCTTTTCGTCGATTCCTTAAAGCTTTGCGACTCATTTTTGAGCTCCTCAAATCATTTTTGACCCACAGTTGTCACATAAATCAAAGTAAGTAAACAACTATCATTTGGGGGGTTTTTTTAGTGATAAACCTGATTTCTTAAACATTTTTTAGAGAAAACGGAGGTATTAGCTTTTAGATAGAAGTACTGTAAAGTTTCAGGTAAGATTTCAAATAGCCAGCCTATCTAAAGTAGCTAGAAAAAGGTATAGTTTTGGATAGAAGTACTGTAAGGTTCAGGTAAGATCTTCAAATAGCCAGCCCTCTAAAGTAGCTAGAAAAAGGTATTAGTTTTTAGATAGAAGTACTGTAAAGTTTCAGGTAAGATTTCAAATAGCCAGCCTATCTAAAGTAGCTAGAAAAAGGTATTAGTTTTTGGATAGAAGTACTGTAAGGTTTCAGGTAAGATCTTCAAATAGCCAGCCTCTCTAAAGTAGCTAGAAAAAGGTATTAGTTTTTAGATAGAAGTACTGTAAAGTTTCAGGAAGATTTCAAATAGCCAGCCATCTAAAGACAGAAAAGGTATTAGTTTTTGGATAGAAGTACTGTAGGTCAGGTAAGATCTTCAAATAGCCAGCCCCTAAAGTAGCTAGAAAAAGGTATTAGTTTTAGATAGAAGTACTGTAAAGTTTCAGGTAAGATTTCAAATAGCCAGCCTATCTAAAGTAGCTAGAAAAAGGTATTAGTTTTTGGATAGAAGTACTGTAAGGTTTCAGGTAAGACTTCAAAAGCCAGCCTCTCTAAAGTAGCTAGAAAAAGGTATTAGTTTTTAGATAGGAGTACTGTAAAGTTTCAGGTAAGATTTCAAATAGCCAGCCTATCTAAAGTAGCTAGAAAAAGGTATTAGTTTTTGGATAGAAGTACTGTAAGGTTTCAGGTAAGATCTTCAAATAGCCAGCCTCTCTAAAGTAGCTAGAAAAAGGTATTAGTTTTTAGATAGAAGTACTGTAAAGTTTCAGGTAAGATTTCAAATAGCCAGCCTATCTAAAGTAGCTAAAAAAACTATATTGTATACTGTTTTTCAGTAATAAATGTCTTTTAAAAGGCTAGAAGAAAGCATTGTTTTTAGATCCACCATTGCTTTTTGATAAAAAAGTTAAGTGCCGAATAATTTGACATGAAACATGTATATATGTAACGGTAATTTTGGCCAGTCTAGATTCGATGACTTTCTTGGATCGAAAATGACATATAAAAAAGTGTCAAAAGTCCGATCTAGAATCAAGCCAATCACTCTAAATCAAACGTCCGATCCAGATTTCGATTTAGAGTAATCGGACGTTTGACCACACTTGGACTTGGACTTGAACGTCCGATCTAGAATCAGTCTAGATTCGATGACTTTCTTAGATCGGACTTAACATATATAACAGTGTCAAAAGTCTAGAAGGCTAGAAGAAAGCATTGTTTTTAGATCCATCATTGCTTTTTGATTTTGAAAATTCTGAAATCCTGAAACTACAAGTTTTTAAGGTTGAGATGATGATATGATGAGAAAATTTAATGATAAACGACTTCAAAATAAGTTTCTTTTAAAAGGCTAGAAGAAAGATAAAGTCATAAATCAAATGATAAACAAAAGTTTATCATTTGATTTATGATTGAAATGACTGTATGACAAAGAAATCATAATTATTTGAATAAAATTGTAGCATTGTTTTAGATTTAGTGAGAAATCTGAAAAATGAAAAAATCCTGCTAGGCTGGCTATTGGATTCGGCAGAATAAAGTTCATTTATTGGAAAAAAATGTTGGATACTTTGATGGTTGGGAAGTTGGCTTGACATTGTCACTCAAATCTAATGATTTTAAGCAATTGGTGTTGATAGTTTTCTTCTATTCTTGAGGTAAACATACTGTTGATTGTTAATCTGTTGATTGATGATAGTTTTAGCTTTTTTTTCTAATATTTCAACTTCGTATTACATCAATTTTCCGAATGCAAAGTGTAGGATAGAGTTCGCTAGCTAAAGTTCGCTAGCTAAAGTTCGCTAGCTAAAGTTCGCTAGCTAAAGTTCGCTAGCTAAAGTTCGCTAGCAGATTGAGCAAACGATGAGGCTAGGATTGTGATAAGCTGATATAAAAACATGATAAACTATCACTAATTACTTGAACATGTTTACTTAAGTCTGAATCGGAGAAACAATACATTTTCAACAATTGAAAAAAGCAATTCAGTCACTTTAAACATTAGATTTTACCAAACCAAACAAAAAGTGGCTCCTCTCAACCACCAAAGTGTCCTCCCTCAACCACCAAAGTGTCCCCTCTCAACCACCAAAGTGTCCCCTCTCAACCACCAAAGTATTAAATGTTGAAATTAAACAGAGATCGTTCACGTATCAATCACCTCGCATCCCTATTTAATCCAAACTAACTTGAAACTTTTGATTTGAAAACGAAATGTTTCAACTTTCTTCAAGTCTCAATGATTTTATCCAAATCAGTTCATCGGTCAGACAAAATCTTTTTTTTTCTCTCACTTCAGACATGATGGCCATTTTTTTCAGGAATTCCCCTCTCCCGAAATAAAAAAAAAATCGTCGCCTCCGGCTGCAATTAACCCTCTCTCTTTCAACTCTTTTATATCAAAAAAGGAGAGAAATTTCATATTTTCCTAAAAGAAACTCCTTTTTCGATGATTTTTGAGACAAATTTTTGATCAACAACTCGTTTTGTTAAACATTTTATTGTGCAACTTTTCAGTGATGAGTTTTATTTCTAATTTCTAAAGAAAGCTTATATTTTAGTCTAACTTTAAGTTAAAGACACTAAAGTTGTGCTTTTAGAGCAGGAATTTGAAATTTGAACTTTTCAAAGTGCTCAAATTATTCAATTCAATTTGTTGATTTTGATGGTTTTTAAACTTTTATTTAAAGATTTTGATTAGTTTTAAAATTGAGTGTTTCATTTTTGACGTCGTGTTTTGAAGCTTCATGTTGTTTCATGTTGCTTCGTGTTGCTTCGTGTTGCTTCATGTTGCTTCATGTTTTGAAGCTTTAGCAGAAGCATTCTTTTTGCAAAGAAAATCGCAAATCCTAAAGAAAAGCTATTTTTTTTTTGATCCAACTAGAATTTTGAAGCACTAACTTAAAGAAAATATCTTTGAATAACTGAATATCTTTAATGAGCCTTTATCTTGAGATATTCAATTAGCCTCGCTGGCTGGCTTGGACTTAGTGCGAAGGCTAGCGGCTAGCGCCTCGCACTAAGTCTAACATTTTCTGGAGCAAACTTCTAAATTGAAGTTTGCTCCAGAAAATGGGCTGAACCCCCATTTTCTGGAGCTCGGCCAGTTCACAGAGCTTAGGCTTAGGCTCAGGCTGGCTGAGATTTTTAAAAGCTTACACGGAGCAAACTGCAAATCATTGTCTGTACTCATTGCGTTTCCACTTTGCGCACTTTGAAACTAGACTTTTTTTAGCCAAATCCTTAATTTCTTTCTTATCCTTCATCTTATCTCTCAAATTTTATCGTTTTTCTTTTAAACTTCTTCAACAACTAACAAAAATTCTGAATTTCAGATGTTCACACTGTACTCGAAATTGAAATGGCTCTATAATACGTCCAAATTTGGCTACTATGCTCCATTGATTGCACTCATTTCCTACACAATGCTTGGTGAGTTTTTAAAAACAATCCAGAGTTCCAAAATTGGAATCGTTTATTGTAATGGATAGAGATTTTAAGCAAAATCTTTTGAAAATAATCAAAGCTATAAAAGAGTTAACTTCTTTATTAGCTGGCTCTTTATTAGCTGGCTCTTTATTAGTTTTTCCAAAAATTAGATCTGATCTAACGAAAACATCTGTCGGTCCTTTTTCCCGTTGACAATTTAAGGTTTTTCGTCTTTTTCTCATCACCAATCCTTTGATTTTTGACTATCATTCAATGCAGAAGAAAATTCCGCATCGAATGATACCAAAATCAACTCAAAATCTAATATCCATGCAAAGTTGTTGGCTAAAAACCTAAACCTCGCTCATTATGGACGGGACTTAACCTTTTGCTTCATAACTTCGTATGAATATTATATTTTGAGTTGATTTTGGTACCATTCGACGCGTAATTTTATTCTACATAGAATGATAGTTAAAATAGTCAAAAATCGAAGGGTTGGTGCTGAGAAAAACACGAAAAACCTTAAATTGTCAAAGGCAAAAAGGACCAGATGTTTTCGTTATAAATCTAATCTAATCTATTCCTAATACTTCAAGGTGCTGTCATTTTCAAAACATTGGAACACGATGAGGATCAAAAAAGACGAGATTTCTTCAAGAATGAATCCGAATATGCGGTTAATCAGGTGAAAAAAAAATGCAAGTTTCAAAATTAGGAATAGTACGAGAATGAGCTATTTTTTAGTGTTGCATTTTTTCGTAAACTTTCTACTTTTGTTTTTTTGTTAAGCGCATTCTACTTTTTACTCATTGAGCATTAGCTTTTGATTTGCTTTTTAATAGCTTACGGAACTTATTTTTAAACCAGACCAGCGTTCAACCGGGCACCTACAGTACCAGCCAGTACCGGTCAAAAAACGGTACTGCTTTGAGAGGTTTTAACTTTAGATGTAGAAATCGTATTTATAAGTGCTATATTGCATCTGAAAGCTCTCGTTTAACTCTACAAGATTTGCTATTACACTTTGAGGAACACGGTAGCTTTAGCCAACTTTTAGGGACTTGAATGAAAGCAAAAATTTTGTGTGATTTTCAGCGCAATTTTGACTACCAGAGACGCTTCAAAACGTTTTGAAAACATTTTTTTCGGAAAGAACGCAAAAAATGACCGAGGGAAAGTGGTTTTTGAGTTGTTTTTTGATAAGTTATAACATGTTTCGAGGGAATTTTGACCGGTGCTGTAGCTCGGAACCCGGGCTCTGGATGATCCAGAGCGCTCATTGGGTCAGACCAGGCCATGGATGGTACAATTGTAAGAACTGTAGGCCAGGTACAGTAGCTAGGTTCAGCTCTGTTTTCTGGCTAGGAGCCACTAGACCAAGCCACGAGCTAAGTACAGAAATTACGTAAAGAAAGTAAAGTAGTAGTTTACGAGTAAAGCCGGGCACAGAAATCAGGTTCAGCTTAAGTGTCTGGTGGATGTCAAGCCTAATTCTTGCGTTTATCTTTCTAGGTACTCGATCGAATGCTCGAGGTCCGCTGCCACGACGAGTTGTTGAAGAGTTTAGATCGATCCGAACAGATCCGACATGCTCAGGATGCGCTTTTTTGGTTCCTCGATCACCTTAATTTAACCGAGGTTTGATAAGTTTTTTGTTTTGATGATTTTTATACTAAATGAAAGTTCACTCTTTTCTATCTTTCATATGTAAAGTAGTCGTTTTTACAATAAAAATAACTATGCTAACTTTGTTTTGAGTTTGGGTCTAAATACGAGATTTTTCGTGCAACCAATAAGCCAATAAGCCAATAAATTAAACTAATTGAAATCAATTTCACCTTTCGACTTGTTTACTTTGAAACATCTGATTTTTGAATCGAAGATTTAATCCTACAAGAGTCACCATGGTTCAAAGAGTTTAGCAAGTCAGCTTTCCGACAATTCCCTTGGCTTTAAAGTACCCGGGTACTTAGGAGTGCCATTCTCCTTTACCTCACGGAGGACATCCGCTACAGTGGCCCACGGAGGACATCCGCTGCCGATAGAACTTCGGTGACTCCTGCTTTTTATGATACCCTCTGCGGCCCTAGGTCAGAAACGGCGCGTTTATCGTACCCAGAGAGTAAAGCGTTTATCGTACCCAGAGAGTAGAAATGAAGGAGTTTAGCAAGTGATAATAACACGCATCAGAACCTCAATTTCGTCACTCAGAACATATCAGAACTCTCACTACCTCAATCTTGCCACTCAGAACATATCAGAACACTCACTACCTCAATTACCCTCAATCAGAAAATATCAGAACACTCACTACCTCAATTTTGTCACTCAGAACATATCAGAACTCCCACTACCTCAAATCCAATTTCAAATCCGATTTTGGCACACAAGAATACTTTCAAAATGCCGTAAACATTCGAATAGAAAAGCCGGCTCTTCTATTTTTCAATGTTTCAATTCTTTTTACTGCAGTCATCCAAAATTTCCAAGAGCTCAAAATAGGTGTTTTTGTTGGATTTTCACTCGGTTTTCAACATTATTAAGCGACTTAAAAAAGCTATAACTATTCTTTAAACCCTTTAAAAGTCATATTAACAGTCATATCATGTTAACATTCATTTTTTTCTATCAGGTGATCGAAGAACGATCGGACGCGTCACCGTGGACGTGGTGGAGTAGCATGTTTTATGCTGGTCAATTGTACACAACTATTGGTTAGTGAAAGTTAGAAATTGGTTTCTCTTGATTAAGACGATTCTCTAAAAGGTGGAGTTGAAAAAAAGACTGCCGTACTCTGGAAGCATTTATGCCTTGTTGTCGATGCGGATTGACACTAAAGTTGTTCCGTGGAGACACTAAAGATTGCCATTAAATTGTCATTAAATTGACATTAAATTGACATTTGACAAATTGACATAATTTAAGCACTTTGAAAAGTTCAAGTTTCAAATTTGTCGTCCAAAAAAGCAATACTAAATCCCTCAGTGTCGACTGAGCCGACTGTCTTGTTAATCCTTTCGTTCAAAAGCCCCAAAACAACGAGTACCCAGCTAGGAATTTTAGCTTTATTTATTTACCAAATACAACTGACTTACGGTAGCTTTCTTCCTGATGCATCTTTTAGAAAAGCTTTAAGGTTTAGACACTACTAAATCGAAATGCGATCAACCATTTAGCAATAATCAACCATTCATTTAGCAAACAAAAGCCGAAATTTTAGGCTACGGCTTTCCAACGGTGAAAACGGTGTCTGGTCAAGTGGCCAGTTGTCTCTACATTATGATAGGTACATTATTTTTTTATCTAGTTAAAGTTAATCTGAAATTGGAAGTGCTTAAAATGATCTGATGGAATCCTGATCAGCCATACAAGCCAAATAAATCTCTGAGATTCTGTTGTGTGCTCCAGATTGTTGTGAGATAGTTGTGAGCTCCAGATTTGCCAATAGTGCTTTTAGAGTTCTGAAATATTGACCTAAACTCGGGCTATAGACGTGATCAGTGATCACCTCGAAATCGTGGCTTCTTTGTGGGGTTTTGACAAAAATAGTGTCCGATTTGGTCAAGCTGGAGCGCATTTTAGAAATAAAGTGACCAATGGAGTGGCCAGCAATGGATGACCAGCTTAAAAATTCGGTTAACTAGCGAAATGTAGGCCGAAAATGTTGAATCAGATGGAAATTTCATTTATTTTATTTATTAGCAGATTTTAAAATATCTTTTGACATTCAATGTTGATTTTTCTGTAATTTTTGAATTGAAATTTCAATGTCCTAATGTAATCGGCTTGCCAAAAATTCTGTAATCTGTAATCTGTAAATTTTTCTCTTCACTTATTTCCAGGTATTCCTATATTTCTCATTATTCTCAAAGATGTCGGCCGATTAATGTCGAGGGGATTGCGAAAATTCTATAAACGCTTGAAACACTCGAAAATCGCCGAGAAAACGGAGAGAATTCGGAGATTTTCCTCGTCGTCGAAAGTGAGTCAAATGATTGGATTCGTTTAGAAATTTTAATAGAATATATTAAAATTTCTATTAAAATTGGAATTTAAATTTTAAACAGAAAGAATCACGAGATATTTTTGACAAGTACCGTATTTTCTCTAATAATAGTGCACCCGAATTTGTACCCGGGAGTTTCCAGGGTCGAGCAATCGATTGAAGCTATTCATTTTATTGAGTCAACCAACTGGAACTCGAATTTAATGCGTTGAAAGTTATGAATTTTCAAATGGTGACTACAGCATTTACTCTAGTGCACCCCAGCAGGCCGAGTTGGTGACGATTTTACGGTTTCCAAGCTTTTGCAGAAGCTTAAAACTCAAATCCCCCACTAGATCTCATCGTTAGCTACATTTTCTGACCCCACATCGATTGGTTCTGATAAGCGGTTCTCGAAATTTCAAGGAATTTAGGCGACGCGTTAGGTACACTACTATTAGAGAGAAGACGGTATATTATTCCAGGTTAGGCTAGTAGATCAGACTGATCTATTTCCCTAATATTTCCGGGTGAGCCGAGTTGATGACGATTTTACAGTTTCCAAGTTTTCCCAGAAGCTCAACACTCAAATCCCCCACTAGATCTCATCGTCAGCTACATTTTCCGACCTCACATCGATAGGTTCTCATAAGCGTTTCTCGAGATTTCGAGAAATTTAGGCGACGCTCAGGGTGCACTACTAAGGAAAAGACGGTACTTGAGCTAATAATAAGCTTCTTCAATAAGCTTCTTCAATATCAATAAGCTTCTTGAACAAATCTCGAATCCACACTGGCGAAACCAAATTAAAAATTCCCTAAATGTTAAAATGTTGTAAAGTTTGCAACTTGCTTTCCAAAAAAATTGTTGCTTTTTTGATGATATTTTAATTGAAACTTAATCAAAAAACATCAAAAAACACCAAAAAAAAACATTGATTTCCATTTTAAATCTTTGAACTTTTGAAAGATTGCTTTCATTTTCAGCAAATCTTTAAAGTGGATCTCCACTCAGAGAGTGAGGCTTTATCAAAAGAGAATGGGATGGGGAAAACGAAAAATGTGAGTTGAAAATGGAGACTTTAAAGTTTTATTGAAATAAAGCGTATTATTAAATATATTACTAGAAAATTGTATTGCAAATATGTTCAAAATTTAAAATTTAACCACCCTAAAATTCCATAGATAAGAGCGGTTTAATTTTTGCAAAAATTTTTAAAAATATTAGGTTGATGCATAAGTGTTTTCGTTCCTTTTCGTCCGCCGTTTCAAGCCAACAAATGCACCAATTAAACTACGGTTGATTTCATTAGAAAAAGCAATTATTTTTCTGCAAAATAACATTAAAACGGGTTTAAAAATAATTTATATGCCTGGATTTTCTTGAGAGTATGAAGTCGGGTAGTCAAAAAGGGCTAACTCGATGATGCGGTTTAGACACCTTAGCTAAAGAAAACCTATCTTCGTGTCAATAGATAAAAGATAGAGAAAAAAAACGTTTGATATGTTTGATAAAGTTAGTTTATTTCGCCAAAATTTCAGAGAAATTCATTCAGCCAATTTTTCCGTAGAGTTTTTTTATAGATTTTTACGAAAAAGGCGTTTTTCACTCTCGAATTTGCTTGAAAGTGAACCGAAATTCATTTAAAAAGATGCAAATTGAACAAAAAAAACACTTTCTTTATAGAGCAAACTATAGATTAATTGGTGAATTTGTTACTTTTTAACAGAAGTACGAAAAAAACGAAAAGACTTATGCATCAACCTATTATTTTAATTTATTATAAAACCAAACAACAACAACAACAACAAAAGTAACAATAATTTAGCTAATATTTTCAATTTCTACATCGTCATCATCCTTTATATCCATACAGGCAAAATCGTTTTTCAGATTTTCAACATCACACAATGCTTTTTCAAAGCTGTGTATGATAGTGTCAGAAGAGATAGAAAAAAAACTTTCGCTGACCAAAAATGCTGCTTCTTGGTAGCTCATTCTTTTTCTGATCCCGCTTTTTGTATAATTTGCATTGGCTTCGTTTGCCATCCATTTTTCTATTTTTTAGCGAAAACCGCTCTTATCTATGGAATTTTAGGGTATATTCTATCAATGGGAATTGATTAAAGTTTCCTGGACAGCTAGGAAAATCTTAAATTTGAAACATGCCACTTTTCAAGGTGATAAATGAAAAGAAAATGAAAAGAAAATGAAAATAACTTGAAAATATTGTGTTCAAAATTAGGCAGTACGACTTGTAAAGCACGAAAAAAAATCTTTAGAAACAGCCTGAGCTAGAGCCGGTGAAACAGAACAAAATCAACGAGAGAATCCACGCCGAGATGGGATTTCCCATTCCGATTGCGTTGGCCATTCTATCGCTCTGGATCTTGTTCAGGTTTGAGAACTTTTTAAAAGCTGAAGTTTTTTGTACGTTTTTTGGACGATGGCTTCGTTTAATAATAGTTTTTAACGAATTCTAAATTTTTGATTCATTCGTTCCCCTCCCCTTTACCTACTTTTTAGTTCAGCCGATTTTGAGGGGTTGAAATAGAAATAGAAATAGAAAGACACCTCATTCTAATACAGCATTTACGGTAGTTTTCAAAATTTATTCACTTTTAACAAACAAACAAACAAACAAACAAACAACAGAAAGAATCGGAATTCCATTGGAAAATTGTTCGGCTGGGAAATGTCATAGAATCCTTGGGATCGTCCAATTTGAAACTGTTTTTTTTGTCGAGATTTTATGAAGACATTAAATTTCTTCTAAACTAGACTTTTCGATTATTTAAATCAACCTTTAAACTCGAGATCTTTACAACTTTTTCAGTGCCGCTCTCTTTTGTATTTGGGAGACCGAATGGGGTTACTTGACAAGCGTCTACTTTTTCTTTGTTTCAATCAGGTGAGAGTGAAAATTTTATTTGCATAAAACACTACCATTAGTCTTATTGAAGGATTTGAAGACTTTAACGTTGAAAAGTTTGAAAGTTTCCTTTCTGAAAACATTGTTTAAAGTAGTGTTTTTAAGCTTAAGCTTAAAGCGAGTATTTCGTTCGTTCGTTTGTTCGTTCGTTCGTTCGTTCGTTCGTTCGTTCGTTCGTTCGTTCGAAAAGTTCTTGAATAAGTATTTCGAAAAGTTCTTTTCAATAAAATCTTGAAAAGTTGAATTGAATTGCTTATTTGACTTGTGAATTTGATATTTAAAAGACAAATGAGTGAACTGAGTTCGGGATGTCATCCTTATCATCGATGATGATGATTTTGTTATCATTTTTATCATCGATGATGATTTTGTTTCAGAAAAGCCGAGTAGCGCATAAGGTTAAACTGGTTTCCCCAAAACGCTCACAAAATAACAAGAACACGCAAAATCTAGCATAAGGTTAACGACACGAGTACACAATTGACACTTCGATTGTCACTTCGTCGATGGCAACACAAATGTTAGTGAATTGTTTCTAAAATGTTAGATCAGCTATCTAAACAGGATTTAGAACCTTAAGGGTAGTTTAAAGCAAATTGGATTTATAATTTTATGGTTTATTAGTACAGAACTAAAAATGCAACGATTAGAAAAACAGCATGCGCATGAATAAAAACATCAAATCCCGAAAAAACGAAGGCAAAACCCCAAACCCAAAAGGTACACCCCAAAAAATTCTGTCTAAAAACCAAAAAACAATTTACGGGAGAGAATGAGACGAAAAGCGACGCAAATTAAATGCAAATAGGAAGGGAACGGATGCGATCACTGGAAACCAAAGGGAAACTAAAGTGTGCACTGCTAGTTCAACTTTCACAATTTTGAAACTTGAAAATTTCTTTCAAATCTTTCATCGAGTTTGTTTTAAAATTGAAATTTAGACAAATAACAGATGAAATTAGATTTAGTTGAAATGCACAGAAGGGTAGCATAAAGTAAATTGAATTTATAATTTTACTGTTTATTAGTACAGAACTAAAAATGCAACGATACCCATTAGAAAAACAGCATGCGCATGAATAGAAGCATCAAATCCCGAAAGAACGAAGGCAAAACCCCAAACCTCCAAAGGCGAGAAGCTACACCCCAAAAATTCTGTCTAAAAACCAAAAAAAACAATTTACGGGAGAGAATGAGACGGAAAAGCGACGCAAATTAAATGCAAATAGGAACGCAAATAGGAAGGGAACGGATGCGATCACTGGAAACCAACGGGAAACTAAAGTGTGCACTGCTAGTTCAACTTTTACAATTTTGAAACTTGAAAATCTCTTTCAAATCTTTCATCGAGTTTGTTTTAAAGTTGAAATTTAGACAAATAACAGATGAAATTTAGATGAAATTAAATTTAGATCCTTCACAGATGAAATTTAGACAAATTCGTTAATGTTTTCTTTCATCCAAAAGTTCTTCCAACTTTTCAGATATTTTTTTTTTTCTTTAGTACGGTCGGTCTTGGTGATATTTACCCGTCAAAGCCCGACATGATGATCTTCAATTTCATTTTGATCCTCGTCGGATTGGCTCTTTTGTCAATGTGCTTCAATTTGATACAGGTGCTAAAAATAGATTCTTGATTCAAATGATGATGATGATTCAAATGATTCAAATGTTTCAAATGTTTGCTTGATGTTTCAAATGGAGCAGCTTTTAAGCATTGAGCCTACTGGACAATGAAAGTATTGCAATTGGCGCCAGTTTTTTCAATTTTATGCACAAGATCTGTTTTTAAGCAACTTTTAAGCATTGAGCCCACTGGACAAAGATCTGTCCAGTGGGCTCAATCAAAACTGGCGCCAAGTATTGCAATTGGCGCCAGTTTTTTTCAATTTTATGCACAAGATCTGTTTTCCTGTTGTAAACTTTGATGTTTCAAACATCAATTGAAGTATCAAACTTATCAAAATTCCAAGGATTGAAGTCAATAAGCTGTTTTCCGTGTTTCCATAAATCATATGGAATCATTCAGTTTTAAAATCGATGTTTCATCTTTGAGCTTGCCCTTTGATAGTTAATCTTTACAATCTTTCCACATCATGCCAAGAAATTCCTAAAATATTTCTCTTTTTAAAAATTCTTAATGACATTAATTAATTTTTTAAAAATATAGAATAATCGAAAGTATATCGATTTTTATAAATTTTCGTGGACAATCACGAAAATCTATAATATCTATGTCGAATTTTGAATAGATCTTGAACCAACAAGAACTATTTTTCTAGAATATCTTTTTCTTGGCAAAAAGGCTTCAATCTTTTCTTCTAAAATACTTAACTATCAATAAAACAATAAAACAAAAGCATTTGTAAAAATGAAAGTAGCATTTGAGCTGCTTTCTTGACTCATTGGCTTTCACCCGTTCGATAATATCGGCGCTCAAAAAAAATGTACGTTTCAACTTTTGTCCTGACTTTCTAGGTTTAATCAGCTCAGTCCATAGTCACCTTAATGCATTAAAAAAAATCAAAAATTGTCCTTATCCATTAAAAATTTCTTAAAAACCTTAATTCCAGCTAACACTTGAGCGTTTCCTGGATCGTTTACTCGACGAATACATTGAGGAAATTGAGAAAATGGCCGAAATCGTGCACCAAGATGATCCAGCAACCGAGCACGCGATTCCGTTCGAATTCAAAATGACGACGGGTAGATTTTAGAAAAATAAAGTGCATTTTTTTATTTTGGGGAGTGGGACAAATGCGACCTTTTTTTTGCGCACCCGGACATTTGCGCACCTTTTTTTCCGCACCTTGCCCATTAGCGCACCTTTTTTCGCGTTTTAAAAAAGCTCTAAAAAGCTAACATTAACCAATTTCTATTCCAAAAGTTGTTTTTCTAGGTAATTTTAGGGCGTAGAATCGAAATTTTGACATAACAGAGCGTGTGGAAGCGAACGGACGGAGTTATACAAAGATAAAAATCAACAATTTTCTGTAATTTGACCTAGCCGTTTTGTCTTTTGGTTCCACATTGGTTTTGGTTGTTTTTGGTTGGTTTTGTTGGTTCCACACGCTCTGTTATGTCAAAATTTGAATTCGGCACCCTCAAATTACCTAGAAAAACAACTTTTGGAATAGAAATTGGTTATTAGCAAAATTTATAAAAAAAAATTTTAAAAAATTTATAAATTTTTTAAAAAAAAAAAAAAAAAAAAAAAAAAAAAAAAAATTAAAAAAAAAAAAAAAAAAAAAAAAAAAAAAAAAAAAAAAAAAAAAAAAAAAAAAAAAAAAAAAAAAAAAAAAAAAAAAAAAAAAAAAAAAAAAAAAAAAAAAAAAAAAAAAAAAAAAAAAAAAAAAAAAAAAAAAAAAAAAAAAAAAAAAAAAAAAAAAAAAAAAAAAAAAAAAAAAAAAAAAAAAAAAAAAAAAAAAAAAAAAAAAAAAAAAAAAAAAAAAAAAAAAAAAAAAAAAAAAAAAAAAAAAAAAAAAAAAAAAAAAAAAAAAAAAAAAAAAAAAAAAAAAAAAAAAAAAAAAAAAAAAAAAAAAAAAAAAAAAAAAAAAAAAAAAAAAAAAAAAAAAAAAAAAAAAAAAAAAAAAAAAAAAAAAAAAAAAAAAAAAAAAAAAAAAAATATATTAGCTTTTTAGAGCTTTTTTAAAACGCGAAAAAAGGTGCGCTAATGGGCAAGGTGCGGAAAAAAAGGTGCGCAAATGTCCGGGTGCGCAAAAAAAAGGTCGCACTTGTCCCACTGCCTTGTTTTGATATGTATAGACTAGAGTGTGTTCCTCGCGAGTAATACGTTTTTTTAAAACGCACACTTGACAAAAATTACCGTACTTTTGGCGAAAATTATTGCAAAAAATTGGCGCGCAAAAATCACGAGCGCTGACTTATATACGTTTCCTTTTAAAGATATTCAACTGTTTGACTGCTTTGGTGGGAGATTCTCTTCAAATGTAAAGATATTCAATTTACTCGGTGTGTAAAGAGGATTACTTCGTAGTTAGTCGGCGAAAAGCGTCGATTAATCGAGTAAAAATTACTGATGCAAATTTTACGCGAAAGGAACATACTCTAGCATAGACTGTATTTTATAATCATATGAACGGATTCCTCGCACATTAGTGCACTCGTTTTCGAATTTATCTCTCCGATTTTGAAACTAAGAATTTTTTTTACAAAGCCTGACTTGTTTTTAAAAGCAAATCAACGAGCTAATTGTTAATAATGATGGTTCTTTTCCAATATCGGGGGAGCGGAAGGATTATCGGGGGAGCGAAAGGAAAATCGGGGGAGTAAATTTTGGCAGCGCTACATATGTCCTATTTAAAATTGTGACGAACGGGAGCTTGCTTTGTTGCAAAAAGTTATCGACTCGAATTCCTCTTGAATGCTTGGGGACCTTTCGCCGTGCGCAAGTGTCACATACCCAGGGAAATAGATCTTTTCCCTTTGAGCGGACTTTCATCAATTCGCCACATTTGCAAATCCACGACTGGATGACTCCTTTGGTGACGAAATAATCGATTGCCGTCGATTTCTTGACGCACAAATTTCGGAGAAGCGCATCGTCGTTAAAGTTTTAAAAAAAACGTTAGAGTTAAAATACAGTCCGGGAAATGCATTTTTCGAGGGGGCAAAATTTGCTCCCCCGATTTTCCTTTCGCTTCCCCGATATTGGAAAAGTACCAAAATGATTTAGGATTTTGAATTTTTCAATCAAAAATTCAAACTCGATAAGTTTTTGGTGCAAAAAAAAAAACGATCGATTTTTGCAGGCGGCCTCCTCACGGTTCCCTTCAAAAAAGTCACCGAAGATCATGGAATTCTGGCCGAGATTAAAAGTTCGTTTGATTGCTGTTTTAAATAGAATTTCTTTTAAATCTTTACTTTACTTATTCCTTTTTGTTTTACTTACTTTCTCGATTGTAAAATCACCTTTGTAGATGGTTAGCAAACATTTGATACACTCCCCGCCCCGTTTGCCATTGGCAATCTAACTTTGAGCTCAAATTTCTTTGGGTTGGGCTGTTGAATTTAAATGTTCTTCGTGTCATTAGATGCGCTAAGTCTTTCTCTGTCGATTGGTGCAAAAACTATTAAAATTGGACAACCCAACACCAAGATATTTGAGCTTAAAGTTGGATTGTCAAGCAACTCGCTTTTCTTAAGACTGGCTTCATCAATTTAGCTCTATTTGGTTTCATTATCTAGCCTAGCATTCTCTCTATCAAAATATAGAAAAAGAAAACAAAAAGATCAACTCTGAGCAAAGATAGGAGTCATTGCAGCAGCGCTTACCATTCAAAATACCCGAAAACCCGAACTCGTACGTTGAAATCAGCCGGACGACTAGTAAAAATTGAAATCTTTAAAATGTGATTATGAATTAGAAGATATTCAGCTAGTTTTTAGTCTTGCAGAAGTCATTCTAGAAACATTTGATCAAATGTCTTTTTCAATCTTTCTAGGTTTCATGGCGGAAAAGGTGGCCGAGAATTTGATCGCCTCGAGACTGGGCAATGATAACACCGACTCGGAAGAAGAACAAATGCCGAAAAGTGATGAGAAGATGGATGATATGGAGAGACAAAGCAGCAAAACGGGTACGATTCTAACTAGAACATTTTTCAATCCGTTTTCTTAACCATGTCCTCTTTCTACCGTAATCTTGTCTCCAATTTTTATTTAATCTATCCACTTTTTGGTCTGAATCTGTTAGGGTTCATAAAGGATAGCGAAAGATTAAAAAAAAAAGTCGATGATTGGATTACGAGACAAGATTACGGTAGAAGAAGAAAGGGGACAAGTTTTCGAAACAATGCGCAGAAAGAATTAAGGCTTTCAATCTAAACTAAAAGCCGGCTAGACTGCCGGCTAGACTGCCAGCTAGATTGCCGACTAGCCTAAATGTCGAAATAATTAAATTCAGTCATCAAGGCTGCTTATATTTAGTGAGACAGATTTACTAATTAAAAACCCCATTCATTTACGCGGACAAATTTGAAACTTCCCTTTTTTTCAGCTTCTCGTCGAAGCAGTCAAGCCGCTCACCTCTTCACCCCACAAAAATATCAACTCAATGCGCGGCGACCATTCCTGAAAACGATTCAAACTTTGGAGAAGATTCGGCCGCACAAAGGGGATTTCAGGTGAAGATTTTGGGATTTTTAGAAAGGATCTAACGCTTAAGAAAACGCTTAAGAACATATATTAAGCATTTTTATATTATTGTTCAATCTATATGTCGTAGCCGCTTACGAAATTCAGCCGCTAACGAATGAGGGTATTTCCGGGCATCCAATCAAAAAGTCACCCACATAAAAAATGTTCATAATACATATATTTTATAATAAATTTTTGAAATTAGCTCATTTGGTTCAGTAGAAAATTTTTTTTGAGCCCCCAAAGTTTAGGTTCAAAAATGCCCTAAAATGGCTATAAAAAATTTTCTACTCAGCCAAAAAACTTGCCTAATAGCTCATTTTGTAGCCAATTTGATGTAGATTCTTAAAGTAAAGCTACATTGAACATTGATTTTTCAAAGCTAGGAGAAAGAGGGCGAGGAACGACTTCAGTTGAACTCGGTCGCTGTTTTCACATTTGAGGATTGCCCTGAATTTGTTCCTCGCCCTCTTTCTCCTACTTTCAACGAAAAATTGTTTTAGATGGCTTTACTTTAAGAAACTACATCAAATTGGCTACAAAATGAGCTATTAGGCAAGTTTTTTGGCTGAGTAGAAAATTTTTTATAGCCATTTTAGGGCATTTTTGAACCTAAACTTTGGGGCTCAAAAAAAATTTTCTACTGAAAAAAATGAGCTAATTTCAAAAATTTATTATAAAATATATGTATTATGAACGTTTTTTATGGGTGACTTTTTGATTGGATGCCCGGAAATACCCTCATTCGTTAGCGGCTGAATTTCGTAAGCGGCTACGACATATATAAGACGTATTATTGTTCAATCTATTAGGTTGATGCATAAGTCTTTTCGTTTTTTTCGTACTTCTGTTAAAAAGTAACAAATTCACCAATTAATCTATAGTTTGCTCTATAAAGAAAGTGTTTTTTTTGTTCAATTTGCATCTTTTTAAATGAATTTCGGTTCACTTTGAAGCAAATTCGAGAGTGAAAAACGCCTTTTTCGTAAAAATCTATAAGAAACTCTACGGAAAAATTGGCTGAATGAATTTCCCTGAAATTTTGGCGAAATATCAAACGTTTTTTTTCTCTATCTTTTATCTATTGACACGAAGATAGGTTTTCTTTAGCTAAGGTGTCTAAACCGCATCATCGAGTTAGCCCTTTTTGACTACCCGACTTCATACTCTCAAGAAAATCCAGGCATTAAATATTTTTAAACCCGTTTTAATGTTATTTTGCAGAAAAATAATTGCTTTTTCTAATGAAATCAACCGTAGTTTAATTGGTGCATTTGTTGGCTTGAAACGGCAGACGAAAAGGAACAAAAACACTTATGCATCAACCTATTATATAAGATTTAGTTTGAATCTAAATCGGACGTCCGATATAGACTGTAATCTAAATCGGACGGAAATCTAAATCGGACACAACATATATAAATTAAATTAAATTTAGAAACGGAATGTTAAAGCTATAAACATTGAAACTGGGTTTTTTTTTTTAGATCAGTGGTCTTCTCGAAATTCGTCACTTCGGATCGATTGACGAGACTTGTCGAGGAAACAGCAAAACCTGTGAGAGCTGCAAACTTTGCCAATAATTTGTAGAGCTACAAATCTTTTGAATTCTGTTACATATATCTTCACGAAAAAGTCTTAATTGAGGCGATTTTGTGATCAGAAGCCAGAAAAGTTCAAACTGAACTCTTTCAATTTTCAGCTTGCCGCCAAGAAAAGCGTTTCGATCTCGTGCCAAACTGAGCCCGAACCAAAAATGAGACGACTTTGCGGGAGAAAAAAGTCAAGAGGTTAAAATTTCTTAAAGAAAACAATATATGGCAAAGTTGAAACCAAAATTTTACACCATACAGCTTACAATTAACTACAATAAAAAAAAGTAGAAACAAGTGGGGTTTTATTCAGATTCCGTCTCCACGGTGAACACGTGCGATTCGGTGATTTCTACAACTCCGTACAAGGTACATATTAAATGTTTTTAAAAATTGAACAACAAATTATTCAAGACAAGAGCGATTGCTATTTATTTACTTATCTATTTATCCCACATCTTAGTTACTCTGAAACATGGATTTTTTTTTCGGGTGTGCTTTCGTCCATTCGAAAGCTCTTGCGATTCTCTATTTTTTGAGCTATAGATCGTGCCAATCCGGCAGATTTGAAGCAAATTAGAAGCGTTTGTGGTGTGACAGTTTGTCATTTTTGTAGTTTATAGTGCTCATATCGAGTTCTTTTCGCTTAAAAGGGACAAATTTTAAATGCAAATTTGGTATTTAGCGTTTTTACTGTTTATTGTTGTTATTTAGCCTTTCTTCTCCTTTAATCGTACAACCATATTACGCAAGCTTTTCCAAATGAGCTATTACGTAGGATACGTGTCTTATATGTTTAATTACTGTAAATACTCGAATAAAACGCCGCCTTCTCGTACAGTCGCGTAGTCTAAATTCTTTTTTGGAAAATCAATCAAATTGTGTCAAAAGCACGTTAGAATATGGTTTTGGATGTGAATTTTGTGTAAAACGCTTCTGATATGCAAATTTATAAACTTGTCCCCCCAATCGAAAAGTACCAACTAAAATATAAATCCATTTTTCAACATTCAGCCGCCTGCAAAACCTAAACTCCGAGCTAAACGCTCGAAATCTCTGGTAAAAAAAACGGTTTCATTATTTTCCTTTTTCTGAGTTACTTTGGCTTTCAATCAAAATGCAATTCTAGTTTTTGTAAACAAAATTCAGGACATCTACTTCGATTACTCGACCGACATGTCGGCCATCGATCAATCGATTCTCAACATGAAATCGACGCTTAGTATTTTGCGAATCGAGGACGAGGAGCCGATTTTACAATCGAAATTGATGCGAATGAGGTGGTTTTTGGAAGAAATTTGTGAAAACTTGATTTTTGGTTCTGATTCGGTTCCAATTTGGTACGGATTCGGTTCCGAATTGGTTCCAATATGGTTCCAATATGGTTCGGATACGGTTCCAATATGGTTCCAATATGGTTCGGATACGGTTCCAATATGGTTCCAATATGGTTCCAATATGGTTCCAATTTGGTTCCCATTTGGTACGGATTCGGTTCCGAATATGGTTCCAATATGGTTCGGATACGGTTCCAATATGGTTCCAATATGGTTCCAAAGTGGTTCCAATATGGTTCCAATATGGTTCCAATTTGATTCCCATTTGGTTCGGATTCGGTTCCGAATTGGTTCCCATTTGGTTCCAATTTGGTTCGGGTTCGGTTCACATTTGGTTCCCATTTGGTTTCGATTTGCTTCCCATTTGCTTCCCATTAGCTTCCCATTAGGTTCCCATTTGGTTCCCATTTGATTCCCAATAGATTTCCATTCGCAACTAAAAGAGTTGCCAGCAATCAGTCAACTCGATTTTGAAACACTAAAATCTCGATCAAAGTTCCGATCATTTTCAGATCCCCACCAAAAATTCGTGTTCCAACTGGTCTCCCCGCTTATCCCTCAACGTCAACTTCATCGGGCGCGAAGCGTATCCACCGTCCATTGAGACATATTCCATCATCGCCGATCACTTTTGAGACCGATGACTCGTTTAGGTTCGTTTTTTTCGAGCTCACAAGCAGAGACATTGATCGAGCTTTCTTTTCAAACTCGCCGTTTAAGTTGAAACAAAAGTCTTCACCAAAATCTAAAGAAACTTTGTCTACAGCTTGTCAAGATTGAAATTAAACATGAGAAACAGGCACTAATTGGTCAGTTTTTTTCTTTTTTTAAAGCCCAGATGAAACACTGTTTTCAAAAGCGCTAAATCCAGCCTTTGTCAATCTAGGTGTATTCTAATTATTCTTTTTGTGTTCAGCAAGTATCCAGGGGTTATTGGTTATTTACTATTTATGTTTATATACTTAATGCAAAGAAAACAACAAAAAAAAGGCTTTAAATTTGTAGAGATTCCGGCGGTCCATCTCCTCTACACGATACGCGATCGCTTCCGTCGAGTGAATTCTCGAGACTTCAGAATCTCTGCGGATTTTTACCGGTATGATTTTCATAAAACCATACAAAAGAAAATGTTCAATCAAGTTTTAAAAACAAGTTTCAATTTTGAGAATGACTTCGCGGCACGGCGACGCAAAGGTTCACTTGATATTGACAGTCCATCGAATGGTATTGACAGTCATCGATCGAATTCTTCGATTGAGGAGTCGATTTTAGAACCACCAAAGACAATGCAAAAGGTCTTTAGTATAGAAAAATAGCTTTGTGCCTCTAATTTAAAAACAAATTTGCATTTTAGCCCGATCCTGATCCCGATCTCGAGCCGTGATGAGAGAAAATGAGTGTTTTAGGATTTTCAAAAGATCTTTATCAAAATTTTGTCTTTCTTTTAACAAAATCAATACTATTTGTGAAATTTTTTTCTTCTTCTTAAGCATGATTCTATTCGGGAGTGGGACAAATGCGACCTTTTTTTTGCGCACCTTTTTTCGCGTTTTAAAAAAGGTCTAAAAAGCTAACATTAACCAATTTCTATTCCAAAAGTTGTTTTTCTAGGTAATTTTAGGGCGTAGAATCGAAATTTTGACATATCAGAGCTTGTGGAAACAAACGGACGGAGTTATACAAAGAGAAAAATCGACAATTTTCTGTAATTTGACCTAGCCGTTTTGTCCTTCAAATTGGTTCCGCAAGCTCTGATATGTCAAAATTTCGATTCTACGCCCTAAAATTACCTAGAAAAACAACTTTTGGAATAGAAATTGGTTAATGTTAGCTTTTTAGAGCTTTTTTAAAACGCGAAAAAAGGTGCGCTAATGGGCAAGGTGCGGAAAAAAAGGTGCGCAAATGTCCGGGTGCGCAAAAAAAAGGTAGCATTTGTCCCACTCCCTTTTATTCCTCTCTTCAAGTGAGTTTTCGAAAACGTGTCCCCTTTCTTTTTCTACCGTAATTTTGTCTCGAATTTTTATCCAATCTATCCACTTTTTATATCTTTCAATATCCTTTGTGAACCCTCACAGAGTCAGGCCAAAAAGTGGATAGATTGGATCAAAAATAGAGACAAGATTACGGTAGAAAGAAAAAGGGGACACGGCTTAGGATGGATGTGAAGAGAGGGAATACTCTAAACACAATTGCTATATCTCAATTCGAAATTTTCTTTGATCTGAAATCTTTCCATTCCATCTTTCCATTCGAAAAAAGCGGGTTTCTTTGTGTGCAATAATAAAGATCAATGATTACTTTGAAGGCAAAATGATTACTTTGAAGGCAACTTGAAAAAAAACTCGGTAAAGTAAAATTGCGTGTAAAACTTTACAAGGTGTTTTCTTTTGTTTACCAATTTCACACCGATCAAAGTATCAAAAAAACTTATTCTCAAACACCAATCAAAGCTTTATTCTATTCGGTAGAAGCGATGCGCGTGAAGCGGCTCCTCGATCGATCGACAGGCGTCGCCGAGTCGAATTGATAGAAATTGCATTCACCGTCACGGGTAAACTAAAAGAAGATTATTAGGTTCAGGTGAGCTATAGTAGTTTAAAATCAATCAAATACTGAAACCTTCATGATTGCTCCCAAATTCTCATATGAATCATTGTAGCCGGGCGCTGAGAAGAGAGTCACAACGCGGCGGTTCGCAAAGTATTCGTAGCCGTGATCAACCATCTGAAAAGTAAAAACGATGTTTGTCAATCAGAAAATACTAAAAGTCCCTAATATTATCAATTTCTTACTTAAAAAGCCCTTAACTTTATAACATCGAATTCACCTGATGTGCTCGTATGAGAAGCGAGATGCCGAGCTTCTCGAAAATCTCGTCGACCGCCTCTTTGCCGTAGATGTAGGAGCAATTGCTAAAAGGTATGAAATAGCAGTACGGTTTTAAAGTTTATTAGACCGGTTTAAAATCTAAAAAATGGTCCCAACCGGTCGGTGTTCGCCGAGAAATGGGCACAATCAAGTGACGGATCCGCCCAGAGAATGTTCTCCAAAAGACCCCCATCGGCAGGCTCGATTTCTGGACTAAAATAGAAACATTTAAATAGGTAGTTACCCAATCATTGTTTAAAACAAAAATCACTACCGTTTGATGGATCGAAGATCGTCGAGAGATTTGAGCGTCGGAGCAAGACCACCGTGCACACACAAAACAGTTCCATTCACAAGAGCTGCCACCTAAAAGGATAATTGTAAGCCTTTACAAGGCTATTCTACGTAAGAAACAGATTTTAATATGCAATCAGAGCTTCAAATGTTGATATAGATTTGCTTATCGATGAAAAATCCAAATCCCACCCCAAACAAATCACAAAACACACCGGCAGATATCCAAAGACTTGACAAAAACGCCTGTAGAGGCCATCCCATTCATTGTTCCGGTGGAAACGCATACGGAGCTCGCCGAAGAAACCGTAGTATCTAAAAATGAAAAATAGATTCTTTAAAATCAAATCACTTTAGCAAAATAAACTACTCACTTGTTCACCGAAGAGATCTCGTGATTTCCACGCAGCAAAAACATGTTATCCGGGTACTCAACCTTGCACGCTAACAACAGCATCAGAATCTAAAGCAATGAGCAATATGTGGGAATCTTTACGGTTAGTGGCGGAGTCGATCGATTATCGGCGGGAATAGCGATTAGCGGCGAGGTAAGGGAAAATGCATAATATCCAGCCATTTAACTGAATTATTTGCATGCCTTTTGAGCTTTTAAACTGTCTTTTTACTGTTCGGCTGATGTATTTACTTAATCTGTTTTTTTGTGCGTTACTATGTTTGTTAATCTATTGATTGGCTGATGTATTCAATAAAGCGTTGAAGATACGAACACCACAATTTGAAGAAATACCTATTAGGTTGTTCGGATATAAACAAGCATTACTAAACTTATTGTTGTGAGAGAAGCTTTTAAAACATGCCTTTTTTTATTTAAAAAGTAGTTGATCTTGTGCATATTTGGAATATTTTTAAACGGATAATTTCTGATTTTTAAGATCTTTTTTCTTGCTTTAGATCTTTAGCTTTAGACCGACTTCAAATATATAAAGTTCGCGTCTACTTTATTTATCAATAAGCCTACTTTACGACTTCAAACTGGGCAAAACAGTTGCGGAATCCCATCGAGATTTGGTCAAAGCCTTTGGGAATAATGTATTGTCCGAAAGCCGATGCCGAGCCTGGCTCCGACGCTTTCGGAATGGTAATGAAAGTCTCGAGGATGATGAACACTCGTCGAGGATGTCAAGAATATCGTTGTCGACCTCAAGCGGTAGACAACGATATTTTGAGGTCTGTAATCGAATCGGATCCATGTCAAACGACGCGTGAACTTGCTCAACAGTTTCTATGTTCAAATTCTACTATTAATGAGCATCTCCACGCCATTGGAAAAACGATCAGATGCGGGAAATGGCTTCCTCACGAGTTAAGCAGTGCAAACGCTCGCTTATATCCGAATAACCTAATAAATTGATTTTAAAAATATCTAAAATGAATGAATCATTGGTTGAATGTCATGCATTTTCCCTTATCCCGCCGCTAATCGGGCAAGAAATCCACCGCTAACCGTAATGATCCATATTTGTTACTGACAATATGACTCTAATCCTTTAAAAAGGCTAAATAACCAAAGAATACCTCAAGTGAATGCGTTCCGCGATCGACATAGTCACCAAGGAAGAGATATCGTTGTTGAAAGGGAAGACCTTGACTCTAAAAAGAAAATGATTGCTTTTTCGAAAGAAATTCTCTGCTAAAAGCAGCAGATAACTTTAATTTGTCCGAAATTTAAAATAGCAAAGATAACCAAGCAAAAATTAACCTGAAAGATTTGCAGCAAATCCTGATATTGCCCATGTAGGTCACCACAAACGACGAGCGGCGTGCGTAACTCCAGCATTGATGGCTGACGGGACAACGATTTCTAAAAAAAGCCATCATTTCAAAAACATTAAAGTCTAAAATAATATACTTACACTTTTCGTAACTCTTTTTTACTTAAAAAGTCAAAGTCCCGCCGCTAATCGGGCAAGAAATCCACAGCTAGCCGTAATAATCCATATTTGTTACCGACAATATTATTCCCTGGATGGTGGCGGAAGGGTCAAAAAAGTCAAAATGAAATACCTCAGCCAGATCGAGCAATTTGTAAATGATGTCCGGCCGATAATCCCATTCGATGGGTCCTCGGAAAAAATGGTCTTTGATCAACGATCGCACATTGAAACTCTAAAAAAAGAAAGTTATGATTGCATTTTATAGTTTAAAGAAAGTTAGGGTTGATAATTTACTTTAAAAAATCATTAAATCACTGCAAAATATCAAAAATTCTGTTGACTTTTTGCTTTCCTCACAAATTCTATTTGGGGAAATTGGTAGTTACCCAATCACTGTTTAAAACCAAAATCAGATATCAACCAAAATCAAATTCCATTTGGGGAAATTGCAGCTTTGCACGAAATTCCTGCGTGGGAATCTAATTTTAACAAGATTTGTGGGCAATTCGAAATAAATCTAATCTCCCATATCTACGATCAACAGGAATGAAAAGATTTTGAAAAATTTGAAATTCACCGAGTCCTTGTGGCCCATTTTGAAGCGAATTCAGTGAAAACCCGCTTCACGACGACCCAAATAATGGAAAGAATAAATAAAATAAATTTCGCGAGCGATTACGTGCTTTTATTTGGGAATTAAGTGCAAATTTTTGAGACGTGTATAATTTGAAAATGATTTATGTAAATTTTTAATTTTCCGTGCTTCTTTCCTCGTCAAACGGTTGAATCTCGAGGTTGAGGAGGCCGAAATCGAAAACCTAAAACGATTGAAAAGCAATTTTGAAAACTAGGGCTTTTAAGTGTTCAATTGATCACAATTAACCCTAATTCAAATGTTCAAAGTCTGCGTTTTTGGTCCGGATTACCATTTACCTTTTTCGCCTCTTTCCCCTTTGAAACATAGGAGTCTGGAATGCGAAATTTGAAGACACGAAGGCCAGCCTGAAGCCTTATCTTGGTTACAATGGATTGTTGAACTTTTAGAAATCAACGCACCCTATTTCCATCATTGCAATCGTGAAAAATGCGAAAAATTGCTGGAACTGGAGCTTTGGCTGAGCCTTCTGAAAGTAATTTGAGATAAAGATAATGGTTTTTGTGCTAGTTTCCATGAAAAGCATTTATTTATCTGCTTTTGAACATCACGCACCCAAAGTCGGCCCAAAAACCGAGAAATTCCCGTCGCGATCCGTCCAAAATTGATCCGAGTTTTTGTCTACATCCATTCCTGCAAATAAAGTATCAATTTTTTCAAGTATTTGAAACGGAAACAGTAAAGAATCGGATTTGTAACATTATTTTATGGTCGCGTCCGTTTCCTTCCTATTTGCGTTGCTATTTTGCAATTATTCGCGTCGCATTTTTCGTCCTTTTTTCTCCCTTCCCGAAATCATTTTTTGGGTCTGTCCCAAAACAGCGCCGCCAAAATAGCGCCGACCAAAACAGCGCCACCCAAAATAGCGCCGTACCCAAAACAGCGCCAATGAAAAACGCCCAAAACAGCGCCAATGCAAAACAAAGTTTTTTTTTCTTTTACAATATGCACTCATTTTTTTTATTAGCAGCTTTTAATTTTGATAATTTATTTAAAAATAACATGACCAACAACAATAAACGATAACAATTAAACGATGCATAAAAAACATTAAAATAGCATGAAATTAATAGTCCAAGAGACTCTGAAACATCATAACACTAGCGATGATGAACATAAACGGCTAGAGCTTTCCAGTGATCCGTAGTAGAAATAAAAAGTTAGTGAAAATGTTAAAAAACAGGCCGTAAAAGGAAAAAAATTGTTATTTTTGGTTAAAATCAATTTTATAAACGCTATCGCAGGTTTCTATGCGTAAAGCGTTAAAAAAACCGGATTCTCCGCCTTTTTTTACCCTAAAAACACAAAAAGTGGACAGAAAAAGTTAAAAACAGCAAAGAAAAAGCAAAAGCAAAAATCTATAAAATTTTTTTTTTTGCTCGTCGCTGTTTTGGGCGTTTTTGCATTGGCGCTGTTTTGGGTACGGCGCTGTCTTGGGTACGGCGCTGTTTTGGGTACGGCGCTGTTTTGGGATAGACCCCATTTTTTTTTGGTCTGCGGGTTTTTGCCTTCTTTCTTGGGGGAACTTTGTTGTTTCATTTTTGATGCGCATGCTGTTTTTGTAATGGGTATTGTTGCATTTCGGTTCTGTACTAATAAACAGTAACGTTATAAATTCACTTTACTTTATGCTACCCTTCAGGTTTTAAATCCTGTTTAGATAACTGGTTTTATTAACATTTGTGTCACCATCGACGTAGTATCAATCCGATCCGTACTCTTCTCAAGAGTATTAATCTATTGTTGGATACTACGTGTTCTTGTTACGTTATAAGCGCTTTTGGGGAAACCCTTTTTAACCTTTTGTGCTATTCGGCCATTCTTAAGCAGAATCATCCTCGTTGATAAGGTTAAAGCGGGTCGCACCCCAAACTTTATATCTAGAGCAGACAATGCATAGAATTGAGTCTATTTTTTTCGTGTTTCAAAAAAGAAAAAGAGTTGATACAAACAAAAAATGAGTGATTTTGCAGCTTTCGCGTCGAAAGTCCAAAATTTTTCTAGATTGAGTATTCTTTGATTATTTCATTAATCCAATTTCTTTGATATCACCAAAACTTACCCAAATCATCAGGCCAAAGCTTCACTCGAACACCGATCGCCGCCACATTTCCACACAGCAATCTTCCCTTGATCGACGCGGCTTGGAAACGAAGTGAAACACCAAATTTCAGAAAGAAAATAAAAATTATAAAGCTTGAGAATAGCCGCATTCTTTGCCACTCGTTATCAGCTAAATGTGTTTTTATGTGAATAGTCTTTTTGTCTTTGTCACAAAATAGTCTTTTTGAAAGGTTTTTGAGAGTGAAACTTCGTATTTCAGCTACCCAGCTCTAGTTTTATCAATAGAAATTCTAAAATCTTTGCTTCTATTCATTTATCTAATTTCTTAAGATTCATTAAGTTCAAGAGCAGAAATTACAATTTCAGTTGTAACCAAAATAAGATAACCGAACACGAAATCAGCTATACCATGAGCTGTAACCAATTTGATTGTGCTTAAAGCTTTAACAAGCTTTGCGAAACATGAAAAACTTTATCATTATGCATAGCTCATTTTAAATGTTCAATTGCTAAGGTTTTCCGAGCATTTCACGAAATTCTCTTCGTATTTTCAACATAAAGTTTCAATTTTATTAATCATCGTAATGAATTTTCGAATTAATAAACCCTTTGTTATCCCTAAGAGCTTGTTCTTAGCTTGTGCATAGCTTGTTCTTAGCTTGTGCATAGCTTGTGCATAGCTTGTGCATAGCTTGTGCATAGCTTGTGCATAGCTTGTTCTTAGCTTGTGCATAGCTTGTGCATAGCTTGTGCATAGCTTGTGCATAGCTTGTTCTTAGCATGTCACTTTGAGCTAAAATCTAAACAAATCTTTTTTGGCATAACCAAGTTCACAGTCGTTTCATTTTTTTTTATGAAAAGCCTTACGAATGATTCGTTAACGGCTAGCCGATTGATTCCCAAGCCAAAGCCTAAGCCTAAGCCTAAGTCTAAGCCTGAGCCTAAGCCGAAAACCGAGTTCGCTAGAAAGGGCTGAGTTTCCCATTTCAGAGTTCAAAGTATAAAGAACTTCTAGGAGAAAGAAAACTTCTTGACTTCTTGTAGAATAGAAGCTAAAATAGTATTTTCCTTATTTTGTTTTCATAATCATCCACTCTTTCGTAAATTTGGCCACTCTTCCCCTTTTTTTTCGTCCATTTCTTTCCTCGAAAACTCTCTGACTGTCTTGCATTCATCCCATCCTTTCCCCCCTTTCTCTATCAATCTCTCTTGTTCTTTTCATGTAAAACACCCACCTGGCACCTCTTTTCTTTCCGCATTCTCCGAAAAATCCCCTCCAGACACTAGAAAGCTCATTTTTTTCAACTTTTTTACTGAGTACTTTATTTTTTGAAACTTGTCTTTTGAGAAAAACATTTTATTAGTAGAAAGTTTAAATTTTGAAAGCTAATGGAATTTCAAGCCTTTGAACTGGATAAAATGATAGATTTTCGGGTTTCAAAAAAATGCCAATTCATTAATCAAAAATCTAATCATTAAGACCAATAGCCTTTGAAATTAATGAAGCTAAAAGACAAATAATTAATGAAACTATCCTTTTTTCTTTTTGTTTACAATCAAACTATTTCCCAATTCTCAATTTCAGGCTGGCTTCTTTGTGATTATTGGCCGATAGGCCTCGAGCCATTTCCAAAGTACAAATAAATCCCAAAAATGTTCTCGGAAATCAATGAATTGGTTGCAATCATCATCATTGTCGTTTTGTGCTGTTTAATGTTTTTCGCTTGGCTTTTCTCGATGGCCACATGTCCCGATAAAATGGTTTCGCTCATTTCTGGAACAAAGTGAGTTTATCAAAAAATAGTGGGATGTAAATTGTAACTACCGTAAATACTGTAATAGTACCCCACCCCCATAATGACGGTGCGGAGCGTTGTGTAGTCTAGCTTTGAACTAGTTTTTCTCGACACTGGTTTATGCTACAATGCGCGCTTAGGTATCAAAAAATAGCCCTGAATTTCAGCTATTTTTTGATACCAAAGGCGCATTTTTTGAAAGTACGGGCGCTTTGAAAAAAATGAAATACTAAAACTACGCCTTGCGACTACGCGACTATACGAGGGCGGTGGGGTACTATTATAGTATTTACGGTAGATAAATGTATAAGTTCTAGTGATTATCCAGCAATCCAGAGCCAAAATCTGGAATCAAATTTTAAAGTTAAGAGAATCAGAGGAATAATCATTGTGATTTAAATAATCGACGCCTGCTTTTTTATTTTCCTTATATTTTTTGAAAAAAAAACACCAATTTTGGAAAACTACCGTAACCAAACCGTCAGTTTTATTCAATCAACCAATTTTGAATCAACCAATCAACCATTGACTGAGCCATGTGATTCCTTATCGTAATTGAGATCAATCGAAATCAAAATTGAGCTAATCTAATGAAAACTGGCGATTGGTTTACGGTGTCTAAAATAGATGCCTTTTAGAAGCTACTAGAAACAAATTCTATGTAAAAACAATAAATTTAGAAGCGATTCCACATATTCGTCCAATCACGAGTCAAAAGAATTGATACGCGACGATGAGGATAGTGGAAAAGAGATGGTGAAAAGTGAGTTTCAAAATAAAAGAAAAGAGATTTTGGTTCTCGATTTCAATCGATGATTTGCCTATACCGACGAGCCTTACAAAACCTTTAAAACTGTTGAAACATGAACTCATTTTTTTAGGTATTTCATCAGTTTATCTTCAATTGAACCCATCTCGACGAGCATCTGATAAGAAACTTTCCGTTGTTCCGGAAGCAGATGAACAGGTTTAAATTAAAAGAAAATCTTTTGTAAGTCTTCAAAAAAAGAAAACAAATCTGACTGATTGCCTTTAAAGGTGACTAATGCCTTTAAAAGTGACTAAACTAGGGAAATATCTAAACTACAGTAACTACAGTAATCCAGACAGGTTAAATGAATTGTAAGCATGCTATTTACTTGAGAGTTGACTGATTAAGTTTGATTTTTGATTAAATGACTTGTCTTAGCTTGCTTTTCTTAGCCGATTGCTTGACGTTTACGTGTACTTTGTGCTCAAAGATGCAAACACACTCTTTCTGATAAACCGCAAGTCCTCATTTTCCTAGAGGGAATGGTTTGGACAAACTGGGAAGTGAAGAAAGTGAAGAAAAGAATTGAGTGCATCAGGGTGCTTTAGTTCTTTTGCGCACAAATGACACGTTAGATTGAAACCTGATATTCATAAAAGTAAGCTGCAAAAAAAATCTAACAATCTAAAACAACTACAAAGAAAGAATTTCGAGAAAAGATTTAAAAAAGGAAAGAATTTATTTTCAGTCAACCGTTCAATCGCGAGCCCCCGAAATGAGACCCTCGATTCTGCAAAGAAGTGCGCCTATCATCGATAAAACGATTGATGAGGTCGTTTGAAAGGATTAAATTACACCTACAGTAAATACTGTAATAGACTCGTACAGTCGCGTAGTCGCACAGGTTTTTTAGTATTTCATTTTTTTCAAAGCGCCCGTACTTTCAAAAAATGTGTCTTTGGTATCAAAAAATAGCTGAAATTCAGGGCTATTTTTTGATACCTAAGCGCGCATTGTAGCATAAACGAGTGTCGAGAAAAACTCGTTCAAAGCTAGGCTACGCAACACTCCGCACCGTCATTATGGGGGTGGGGTACTATTACAGTATTTACGGTATTTTAAAAATATTGAAGAATATATTATTGGTTTAGTAGTGTTGAAGCTGTTGAAGCTGAGATTTTGAAACTTCAAAGATTTGAATTCTTTCGCTAGCAAGCCGTATCTTTTTTTGTCATGAAGTTTTTTGAAACACGCAATTTCTAGTCACTATTAGAACTTTTTTTTTTTCTCTTTGTACAATTTTCTTCTTCTCACAATCTTCTTGTCAAATTTGTTAGTCTCAAATTTTTTGCACGAATCAAAGACGCTTACAAATATTTATATCGATCAACTCAGTTACCGTATTTGAGAGTTTTCCTTTGTGCGTTTGCCATTTGCTTTAAAATGAACGGGTATTTGAATAAATTGTTTGAAAAGTGGAGATCACAAAAAGCATAAAGTATTTCTGAGGCTGATGAAAGGGCAAAATAATAAAGGATTTTTGAAAAACCCACAATAAAAATGAGGAATTTGACGGAGATCAAAGAAAACTTGAGCAAATTTGAGCTATTTAAATGGTGATTCATCAAGTTACCATTTTTCTCTTTCCTATTCCTACTTGTAGTTTTTGAAGTTGACTTAAAAATACTTCAAACCCATTCTAAGCGATCCAATACTTTTTTTTCGGAGTCTAACAAGTGCCTCCGCCATCTCAAATGTGGAACTCGAAAGCCGTGTTGACGAATATTCTGACTCTGACTCGTCACTTCTCATCTCATCTGCAGAAACATCAAAATTTTAGACACGCGTGTTGCTCTGTTAATTTTTAACCTTTCTGAACAATAAGATTACTTTTCTTGTGATCTCTTCTCAATTCATTCAGTATGATCAGTAACAATATGATTACTCAATTCAGTTCGCATCGTGATATTCGTGTTTTCTAATATTGTTTGCTCTTTTGAAATAGAGTCTTACAAAAGAGATTATAAGTAAACTGAAGTCTTTCCACTAGTCGTATAAAATTTCGAACTCTCGATCTCGGTGTACTTTCAATTCGGTGCGATCAGAGAACTTTCTAAAGCTGAAATTTCTAGCTTGTGTTTGCTTTGTTGAAAGTAAGGTACTGTGTAGTTCTCTCATTTTAAAGTAGAATGCACAATCTTTATTCGTTCAATTGCATACACAGCATAGATAGATGAGAATGAAACAAGCAACTTAGACTAGACAATGACTTCGATACAAATTTAGAGATGAATGAATAAAAAGTTGCAAGAGGGTTAGGATGAGGAAAAATTGTCTTAAAAGAAAAAAAACACCGAGTAGGTACAAGGAATATTTAGATCATTCTCGGGCATACTTGCAAAAGTATGCGTAAAAGGATAAGAATTTCTTTGGTCACAACAGTTTCACGAGGTTTTTACCGTTTGCAAGTCAGTCTAGGCCGCCAACACAAGTAACAGAATCAAGTAGACACAAATTGCAAGAAATTTCATTGGAGACATTCCATTCTGAGTCGATTCCCCTTGTGCAGCTCGACGATACGGAGGGATTCGATCCTAAAAAAAGAAAACAGTCGATTTTAAGAAGTTAAAGAATGCGTTTGTTACCTGAGCTGTCAATCCAGAAACGGCATATTCAACAGATGATTGTGGTGCTGCGTTATGGCTTGGATCGCCCGATTGGGCCGGTTCAGCGGTTCCGTACAACAAAAGAGACCAATCTTCAATCGTTCCTAAACTTTGAAAAGTGTACGTTAGAGTGCAAAAGTATATCAAAATAGTTTACCTTTCAGCTTCGGATTGTCCGTGACCGATTCAACGATCAACACCCATGTGCCCCGTGGATCTTCGCCCCATTGTTGAACGGAAAGGAATGGCCATTTTTGGAATCCGTTTGAGTTGTAGTCAAATGGACGGGGTGGAAGAAGTATCGATCGAGTCCCAGCCGGTGAGATTAGCGTCAATTTCAAATCACCGCGTCTTCCGTATTGAATGGTGGAAAGCACCTAAGTGATTGTTTAATTTAAATTAAACAACTCAATATATTTACCTGTACATGTTCTAGATACAACACTGGCGTCCCTATTTGACATCCGGTCACTTCGATCGTGAAATTCATTCGAAAACGGCCGGATACCGGACGTGGACTTAAATTTGGAAAAAAATTATTAGAGAATGTAAATAGCCTACTTTGGTCGATTCAATTTGTACTCATAGATGCAAAGATTTTGTTCAGGAGCTTTCTTCCAAGTTTTTGCCATTTTCACAAGAGCTGCTCCATCCATCAATCCATATCCAAATCTAAAAGATAAAAATAAGATTTGTTTTAATTCAGAATCATTCCTACTTGCTGCTCACTTTTCGACCAACTCCATTTGTTGACCATCCCGCGGTGCTGAGAAGAGGCTTCGGATTGGCTGTTCGCACGACAAGATGTTGCACATCACGCCACGTAAGTTTCGAACTAAAAAAGGAGATAGTTGTGTAACTAAATCTGACTCTCACTTTGCTTCAAGAGCAAGTGCAATAATTCCAGCCGCCAGTGGTGCAGATGCTGAAGTTCCCGTATGTGACATTGTGCAACCTGTTGGCACATCAACGGTAACCTAAAAATATTCATTTTTCAGTGAATACATTATAATTCATACCACTGCAGGTTGACTCATGGCTGCCGATGAATATGTGGTGGCAATCGATGAGGGACATTCCTCCAAGTACCTAAATCATCATTTGCAAGCAAGACCATAAAGCCAACCATGGCTCACGATTATCCGAAGTTGCTGAAGAAATGGATAAAGTGTAGATGGAAGTTGTGTAACCATCGGCGGAACATGAATCTTGTCTAAGCTAAGGAAATCAATCAAAATCTATCCAAAACGTTACCTTGATCCACCATTTCCGCTTGCCCAAACGAAGATATTCCCCTTTCCATTTCGTCCACTCTTTATTCCCCGATGGAAAGCTTCTCGTGCGAGCGGTCCCGGTCCATCAAATGTTTGCCCATCATCTTCTGGTCCCCAACTCGCTGAATAGATGTCGATGTGGTTTTGATTCAATGAGAGAGCGGCCGCTTCAACCGAATCAAAGACTAAATATAACCATCGCACAAAGTTCTAATGATCAAGATGAACTACGTAACTCACCAGCTCCATCCAACATGCGCACTCCACCAATGTTCGCTTTGTACGCAATACCGACGCCGCATTGATTGTTCCCAGCAACAGCAGCCACTTCTCCTGCACATCGTGTTCCATGTCTAAAAAGGGTGGTCTTTATTTAGGCAAAACCAATTACACTATATCTTCGCCATTTAAAGTGTCTTACTTATTATCGCCATTATTTCGCGGTGTCGGATCATCGTCATGATCATTTATATCGGAGGAGGCCATTGGATCGTAATTGGCAATGAGATCGGGATGATCGCGTTGAATACCTAAAACAATCAAAAATGAATATACATAATAAAACACAGGCTAACCATCATCAAGTATCGAAACGGTGACATTTCGGCCAGCGTATCCCATCAACCAAGCCTCTCGCACATTCATATCGAATCCACCATCAGCCCCACCAGTCTGTAAATGAAAAGATTACTAATGATCAAATTCAAACTCACCAAGTACCACTGATTTTTGTATAACGGATCGATCCACGGCAGTTGAGGGACTTCAAGTGTCGATTTTCGTCGAGCCATATGATGTATCGTTTGTTTTGTTGCTCCGATCAAATCTTCACCGGTTTTTTTCTAACAGATTGTCATTAGAATGATTTTTGGATTGTTTACCTCTCAGAATGCAACAAAATATACCTCTTGCACGTCATCGATGTGAATATAATCTCGTTTCGATCGCTTTTTTGGTCGTTGTTCTTCAACCTAAAGAAGTCGATTACCTAAATGCCAACAAATAGCAACAAACCCATTCCACAGCGGGATGTTCACCAAGTTGCTCAGAAGTTGTCCGTTTTCGTCGATATGCATGGTCCGGCTGTTCGTGATAAAAGAAGTAATGATTCTCCATGAAAGGTTCGCCCTAAATTTAAAAATTCCTATGTAAGCAACAAAAAAAACAGAATAAAAGCTGTACAACTTACTTTAACAACCATTCCGTATCGTTTCGCAATTTGATGAGCAAGCTCGTCATCTTTTTCTTTTAATCGAATCACCGTATGCGTGGAATCAATGTAATCCGTATCATTCAGCCAATCCTAAATTGTTAGTGTGAAGAATATAACATTCACTTGATAAATTCAATCCATCCTTTAAAAAACATAAAATTTATATACCTTGCTAGGTTCTTCATTAGCGATTACACATCCAAAAAGGAGAAACACGACGATGAGCAACTTCAGCGAAATGACCATTCAACAACGGAAAATTTGAAAATGGATGTGCCCAGAAAATGTCGTAAAGAAGAAATTGTTATGTTTTAAAGTTAAAACAAAGTAGCTAGATCAAAGTACTGCTAAACAGCTAAATGAAGGTAAACAAAACGAAAAAAAAATTACAGAAAAGCCAACTTTTCAGATCCGATGAGAGACGACGAAGAGAAATGGACCTGCAGAAGGAATGAAAATTTCGAACCTCTCATTTCCGTATAAACCAACGTTAAATGCAAACTTAAAAGTTCCCATGGTGATTACATCGGTCAAAAGTTGGGGCGCTAGGAAAAGCGCCGCGTTTTTTGCGCCAATTTCATTTGCGCCACGTTTCATTTGCGCCAAACTTACGCTTATGAAAATCACTGTTACAAATCACTTTTTCTCAACTTCTAACCAACTTTTTTTCAGTTTTCTACTTCACAATTTTAGTTCTCACTGTTTTCAATTAGAAAACACGTTTAAATACCTATACAGCCTCCAAAAACAGTCATTTTTGTGTCCCCGATTGGGCTTTTTACTCTCTATATCGATCATATGCCATTTTCAGATCCGGTGAAGGCGGCAAAATAGGGAGCATCGTCAATGAGGAAAAACTGAAAAAAATATATAAATGGTCAATCAATGGAGTTGGTAGGAAAGTGTGTTGAAAAGTGCAAATGGCGCAAAAAAAAATTTGGCGCAAATGATACGTGGCGCAAATAATTCAGCGCATTTGCTAGCACTCCCAAAAGTTAGTTCGGGATAGAAAAGAATTGCGATAAAAAACTCACAAAAGTAGTTACAAATACTAGAGCATTCAGCTTATCTGCGATTTCTATCAAACTTGACCGATAAGGAAATTTAGTCTCTTACAATCCCAGAGTAAAATACCTTTTTTAATCAACAGGTCGTGAACTACTTATTTTATCTCTCATAAAATCATAAAACCTACTTTCTCGCACTTCAGCTGTATTGAAATCGATGAGCTTTCGTGGAAATCAAGACTTACATTTTGCAAAAACATTTTTTTTTGTATTTGCAAAGCCTAAGCTTTGTTGTTTTCAATTAAAATTTCAATTTTTAGCCATTTTTTTAATTACTGCACATTTTGACAAACAGAATTCTCAAAATTTCACTGCAAATAGTCAAGGTCTCAAATTTTTCAATCCACTTTAACTTCCGGTTGCACTATTGGTGCTAGAGTAGTTAGGCGGGGGGCCAGTTTGTAAACACTGGTTCTTTCGAACTTGCCACTAGTTTTAAAAACTTTTTCTGGGGTAATTAATTGCACTGAATCCATCGGAGCAATTATAAACCATTCTGAACAACTTTTATGCCAATTTGAGCAACAATTCCGAGCCTTCAAGAGTGTCTCTCTTTTCACTGGGTTTAGAGGTGCGGGACCGAATTAAGAGGCTTAAAACCTCAAGAAACTGCTTGAAATAGCTAGAAAACAAGTACTAAAGCTTGAATAAATACCAAATTAAGAATCTACGCCTTTAAAAATTCTAGAAGCAAAAATTAGCGCGCGCTGGCTCGATAGAGATGAATGTACACTACCCCCCGCCCAACTACTATAGCACCGCACTGTTTCTGTTTCGTATATAATGTAGCAATGTGAAATGAAGTACTTTGTGGGTATGACAAGGAAATTGCAAGCGATCATGATGCGTTATTATGCGCACAAATTGCCAGCGTACATTCGATTTTGAAAGAATTCCCGGATGAAACACCGAATCACTTCCTCATCTCCTGCCTGGAGATCAAAAATTTTCATTCTTTTTTTTTGCAAATATCAAACCTCAACCCGTGACCTTTGAGTTTTCAAACAAAAAAAATGATCAGATCATGCAAAATCACTTAAATTTCGATGAATTCGGTCAAAAAAACCGGTGTTCCCAAAATGTTGAGAGATCATTTTTCTTTCTTTACGGAGAAACCATTTTAGGTCAAATTTTATGCAAAAACGATTGCACTCGAGCATTTGGCCAAAAAATGGTCTACTGACAGTGAAAAACTCGCGAATTTCTAGACAATAATGGGGTTTTCCGGGAAAATTCTCTGCTGAAAAGTTGAGGTTTCAACTTTTTCAAGTCAAATTTGTTGAGTAGACAACAAATCAATAAAATAACTCTTTGTGAAGATTTTTGTCTTAACTTTTCTAAAGATTTTCTTCTAAATATGTTTCCAAGTATGGCTAAAATGTACAAAAAAAAGCTTGTTTCAATTTTTTTCATGTATAGAGGAAAAAGTCGATCATCAATTACATTAAATTTCGTTAAAGTCGATGATTAACTTGAAATTTTTTCTTACTATCATGCAAAATTTGAAACAAAATTAATTAGCATTAGTTAATTAATTAATAAAACGGGATAGGCTACTTTCGCCAATTTTTTTGCACAACAGGATCAGTTACGCAACTGGGTCATTTACGCAACTCGCCATAACTTTCTTCTAAGTGGACCAATCTTTATCATTTAGGTGTCATTTTGTAGATCTCAATAAGTGCAACAAAATGAAACCAAAATCATAAAGATTGGCTGACTTAGAAGAAAGTTATGGCGAGTTTGCGCAAATGATCCTGATCCAAATGAGCAAAAGCAAATGATCCAAAAAAAATTGCGGATATTAGCCTACCCCTAAATATTCTAATAGAAGCACCCTCTATAGAAGCGTCGCGTAGTCTAAGTTTACTCTCAAATAAACGCTTATATCTCAGCACTAGTACGTTTGTTAGTATTGTTTGTAAAGCTAATTAAATGAGCAATGTTTATCATGACGTGGAAACTGTGTAAAATTCCCCTAATAGAATTCCTTTATTTACTGACATTTACTAAAAGTTGAAACTCGTATATTTTCAGTCCCTTTTTCTTCATTTTCTCTTTTTAAAAAATTTCTCAATCGGTCAAAGAGAGGTCAGAGATTTGACGTCTCGATCGTCGAACATCCCCTCCTTTAGCCTGTTTGTGACGTTTCTTGAAAAAAAGTATTTCCCTCTTTATTTTCTTTCGATTTTCGTGTGTTTTCGCGATTAGACGGTGATTTTTGAGACCTAAACGATTTCGTTGGTATAGAGGACTGAAAGTTCGACAAGAGGAATTTTTCGGGGCAATAAATTGATGGAGCGAACACAAGGACATTGAAAAGAAAAGATTGGGGAAATAATGGAGAAAATGAAGAATCGAGTCATCGGAAAGAAGATTTCCGTTTAGAGATCACAGAAAGTTTTGTGCTTTGGCTATAGACTAGAAATGTATTGAGTGGGTTGATTAGATTAAGTTATTGTAAATGTTTCAATTCAATCTCACTCTCCAATCATCTCCCAGGGTACTATTGAACACTAAATCTCGAATTGAACCCTAAAACAAGTTTATAAGAATGGCATTGGTGTTGAAAAATGAAGCTAACGTCAGGATTTTAAGTGATTTTAATACAATTCAGATTAGAGTTTTCTTAATTTCTTTTCTAAAAGGCACCAGTTTCAGAAAACTACCGTAATCTGCTGTAGTTTTCCTTTCGATCAACCCACCGTAAATACTGTATTAGTACCCCATCCCCCTCGTACAGTCTCGTAGTCGCAAAAGTTTTTTAGTATTTCATTTTTTTCAAAGCACCCGTACTTTCAAAAAATGTGTCTTTGGTATCAAAAAATAGCTGAATTTCAGGGCTATTTTTTGATACCTAAGCGCGCATTGTAGCATAAACCAGTGTCGAGAAAGACTCGTTCAAAGCTAGACTACGCAACACTTCGCATCGTCATTATGGGGGTGGGGTACTATTACAGTATTTACGGCAATTTGATATTTTGATATCATTTTGGTATAATTCCTTATCGAATGATACTAAAATTGGGCTAATCGAGTGAAAACTGATTGCTTACTTAAGGATTGGTGTTCTTTTACGGATTACTTGATTACGATACTATGGATTATTCGATTACAATAGTTTTTCTAAAGTTGATACCTTTTAGAAGACACATTACTTACCGTAAATACTGTAATAGTACCCCACCCCCATAATGGCGGTGCGGAGTTTTGCGTAGTCTAGCTTTGAACGAGTTTTTCTCGACACTGGTTTATGCTACAATGCGCGCTTAGGTATCAAAAAATAGCCCTGAAATTCAGCTATTTTTTGATACCAAAGACACATTTTTTGAAAGTACGGGCGAAAAAAATGAAATACTAAAAAACTTTTGCGACTACGTGACTGTACGAGGGCGGTGGGTAATATTACAGTATTTACGGTATGTAGAAAACAAAGCAAGAACTCTCATTAAAAGAACAACATTCACAAAAAAAGCCGTTAACTTTGAAACGCGAATTTTCTAAAAAATTATTTCATCTATTTAGGGGGATGGGGTACTATTACAGTGTTTACGGTAGAGAAATGTATAATTTCTAGTGATTAGCCAGCAATCCAGAGCCAAAATCTGGAATCAAATTTTAAAGTTAAGAGAATCAGAGGAATAGTGTTTTAAATAATCGACGCCTGCTTTTTTATTTTCCTTAAAAGTACGGGCGCTTTGAAAAAAATGAAATACTAAAAAACTTTTGCGACTACGCGACTGTACGAGGGCGGTGGGGTACTATTACAGTATTTACGGTAGTTAAAATATTCTGGGTTTTTTATTGAAAACGCGTATAGCAAATAAAAGTAGTACCCCACCGCATTTTTTTATGATTGAAATTTTGATACAACAGTCAAATTGATCAAATTTGAAACATTAGCTTTAAAATCACCGTCATCTCTTTTCTAAAATTGTCTTTTTTCTGATATTGTTATTTTCTCAATTCAAGATTGGCCCTTATATCTATTTTTGGCTATTGTTGGCTATTTTTTTGCCTTTAGATCTCGTCATGCAGACAAAAACAAGATCATACCAAGCATAGTCAACACATAAACTGAGACGTAGATTTTGTGCTCATAAAAAGAAAAGAAAAGAGAAAATTGATAGACGATCTCATCATTTCCACCCAGTTTTTTGTTCATTTTTGTGACTTTTT